TAATGTAAATGTTTAGAATTATATGTGTGATAGTTCCTTTATATGAACTGTATTGATTGATTTATTTATAAGAATATTACTTCTCATTTTAATCCTGACAGTCATTTCACTTGTGTACTTTCTTCTCATACTTACTTACCAAGGTACTTACTTTTTTGGGTACAGAATCAGCAAAGACGCAGCTGAAAGATACACCGAAACGTTGGGCCAGTCGGTACAACACTTTATCAATACCCAAGTGTCAGCTTCAAGCGCAGTAAGGATCTTGGCAGAAAATGCGCCAGACCCTCAGGCCTTTCTCAGCAAGTATGATGAACTGAAGAGCAGAAAGTAAGTAATACTTGTTTAAAATTTTTCTTTTTATGTGGACTGACAATGATATATATATGTATGTATGTATGTATTTATACCATGTAGATTAGTCATTATTGTTGTATTTTTTTCATGTCGGCTTGTTCAGTCTGAAAGTAGGTGTTGTAGATACTTTAGAGTATATTAAATTGTGAGTCCCTTTTAGCAGTAGTCAAATTGCAAAGAGGATAGTATCCATTAAAACAATCTATTTCCTTTCTCAAATGCAGCGTGCGTGACCTAGATCCGTTAGTGGTGTTTCTGAGTGGTTTGGTGGAAGACGAAGAGGTGAGGAAGGCAATAGAAAGTGGCTCCCGGTCGAAGATGAAGGAAGAGGGCTTGTCGTTTACAACAGTTCCCAGCATCGTCTCTGAGATCGAACATGCAGCGGAGACAAAACTCTCAAAAGACCAGCTCAATGAGGTTTGTTAGTTGCTCTTTCTTGTAATATGTCTTCTCCTTTTTTTTCTTTCTTCTTCTTCTTCTTCATATGCTTTCTTTTTATTATTATGATTATTCCCCTTTCTTGCTCTTTTTTTGATAGATTTTTTATTGATATGATTTTATTTTGTTCATTCTCTTTTTGTTTGGGTTGCTCTGCCTTTTGCTGCGGACCGTTTGCTGCGGGAATCACAAGTGACACATGTTCCTAGTGAAGCCATGCGAGCAGTCGAAAGAGGAGAAAAGAAAAATACCCTTGGACCTCCGACCCCAAGTTGGCTGGATAACCGGCCTTATCACACGTTGGATTTTGTGCAAGTGGAACACAGGCCGGATGTTGGGGCCCTTGGTAAGTTCGACCTCTATCTGTTGAGCATGGATGTACATTTTTTTTTTTTTTGGTTTATTTTCTTAATGAATGATTTATGTTCTTTCAGGATTTCTCAGAATTATAGGAGAACCAATACTATGTGCAGCAAAGCAAACATTCCGTTTTGAATGTATTTTTAAGACAAACATTCTTGTCTTTTGAAGTTGTGCTTAAACAGCGTAACTAATCAGTATGCATTTTAGACCGCATATAACTTGGGTAAATAAATGGTACTTGTTGAATGGGGCCTAAAATGGATTATTGCTACATTATACTTTAGCATAGATTAAAGATTTTGCTGGTCTTTTGTGATACTTCTTTTTCCCTGGTATTAGTATTCAAAGGTTTGACGTCCATATTTTACGGCTTTTTTTCTTTTCTTTTTCTTTTCTTTTCTTTCTTTTTTTTTGTTTTTTTTTTTTTTTTTTTCCTTTCTTTCTTGTTATTTTATTTTATTTTCTCTTCTTTTCTCTCTCTTTTCTCCTTTCCTCTCTCCTCTCCTCTCTTTTTTCTTCTCTTCTTTTTTTTTCTTCTTTTTTTTCTTTTCTTTTTTCTTCTTTTTCTTTTCTCTTCTTCCTCTTCTAGCTCCTCTCCTCTCCTCTCCTCTCCTCTCCTCTCCTCTCCTCTCCTCCTCTCCTCCTCTTCTCTCCTCTCCTCTCTCTCCTCTCCTTCCTCTCCTCTCCTCTCTCTCTCCTCTCCTCTCCTCTCCTTCTCCTCTCCTCTCCTCCTCCTCTCCTCTCCTCTCCTCTCCCTCCTCTCTCCTCCCTCTCCCTCTTCTTTACATTCAATTTTACAAATGAATTGACTTTTTATTTTTGTGCATCCTTTTCAACTGAATGACTTTCTGTCTTCAGGCAAGGTGGCATCGACATCTCAAGAACATCAGCTGATTGAAGACCTGCTGAGCCTCATGATGGGGATAGAAGGAATGTACATTACAGTACAGCCTCCTGCTAAACATTATGACGCCCCAGAGTTTACTGTCGATCCATCTGTTGGTATGTCTTAACTTGTGAAGGATTATCTGTTTTGTCTTACTTAAATTGAATGATGAGAATGATGTGTATGAACATGAACCATATTTGTTAAAAATACAAAATGACGCATAAGTTGCATCTGATGTATAGATATGTATTCAATTAAGATCTCAATTATCACCACAATCAGAACCTTCTCTGAGTGCGTTGGTGAGCCGCATATTGCCGTTGTGCGGTCACTACTCTCAGCTGGTGAGGTTTGTGGAGGACAAGAGCTTATATCACCACGGATTGGTAAACCAGGCTTTGGCGGCTGCTCTCACCAGTCTAATCAAAGACTATATGGTAAGTTTGCTTTTGTTTCTCTCTTTATTTTAAGATATATATATTTGAGGTAATGAATGTGAGTGCATTTGTCTATTTGTATTGATACTACAGGTTAGTGTGTTGATTAAAACTCCACTGCTGATTTTTCATGTAGAACTGTTACAGCTAATTGTAATACATGGCATCACATACTACATTACATGACGAAGATATTGGAATATATGTTTTCTATGTATTAAATTGATTCTATTTAGATTTTTGACAGTATAGTAATTTCTCTGTTTTTATAGAGCAACAAACAATATATTTGATGCTTCTTTCTTTTCTCTTTCCAAATACAGCTTCTAGTAACACAGTTGGAAGCACAACACCAGAGATGGGCCCTCACTCTGCACAAACTATGGTTCTACGTGGAGAAAACGATGGCAGTTATGGACATGCTTGCTTGTATCACCAGAATAATTACAAAGGTTGGTTTGTCTTTCTCATTTATTTGGGGATAGGCTATGTAATTATTACTATATGGAATAAGACTAAAGATAAGTTATTTATTTTTTTCCTCTAGTATATAGATGGGATGGTAATGTGTATTATAAAATTTAGACCGTCAGATTAACAAATGTAATTCTAACACGTTTCCTCTTGTAGTCTGAAGCACATGGAGGGTCGGTGTTGAGTCTCCTGCACGACCGTACTCTGAGTCTCACAGGATGCGGACAGCTGCAGGAGGTTATGGTGTTCCTTACACAGGCAGCTGCTGTGCCCTACATGAACATGTTGGCGAAGTGGCTGTACCGTGGGATTATCAATGATCCTTACAATGAGGTTAGATGATGAAGTTATTTTCCATCTATTCCTATGTCTGTTTCCAGATTTATGATATATATGTATATTATGTAGGTAGATATAGGTATTGATAGATATTTGAATATGTATGTGTACCAATGTAGGATTTTCATATTTTCATATTAATCTTTTAAATACCTTTGCTCAAGGTGTTTGTGGCTAATTCTTTAATGTGTTAACAGGTATTTTTAAAATTTGATTTCAAAGTAAAGGTAGGGCATAGATCTCTTGTGAGATTCTAAAAGGAATTGTTTTCTTGGGACAGTAATGTTGAAATTTAGAGTTTGAGAACCAAGGCAGATCCCCAAGACCTTCCAATTGCATGTCATGCTTGGTAACGTGAGCACCAAGGGGAGGAAATGACACATGGCACCTCTTTCACTAGGAAGGCTTTTCTGAAGGTTTAGGATTTCTTTTCAGTTCATGGTCGTGGACAGAGAGAGTGGCACGGAAGAGAACGAGGACCAGGACTTGGCCGATGACTATTGGGAAAAGAGATACACTATCATTCCCCACAACATTCCTGCTTTCTTGCAAATGCATGCCGATGTCATTCTGCGAACTGGGAAATACCTTAACGTAATCAGGCAGTCAGGTTAGCTATGGGGGTTCTTACTTTTCCTGCTGTTGAATGATGGTGTTGGTTATTATTATTATTATCATTTTATTTTGTTATAGAATTTTCTGCTCTCTTAATTTTTATCATCTCATCACAGCTGTAATAAGCACATTTTTCAAAGCAACTCTGGATTTGCTGTCTAATTTGAATGCTTTATTATTATTTTTTTTTGGGGGGGTGAAAATGTAAAACTTTTAGAATACAAATATTTCAGAATTATGAATTTTGAAGGTGGCACTTTGGAATCATTGTTTTGATGCATCTTTTTTTATGCTTCTCACATTTTCAAAGCCTAGAATTTTCTTACTACTCTTTTAAAGGTGGCTGATTTTCACATGCCCCTTGTCTTCACATCTGATTGTCTGTTTCTTCACTCCACATGAAGACTTTTTCCATACTCAGTATTAGGGAATGAGTGTTAGTGAATAAGATTTTATGTAGAAGATTGAATCAAGACCAATTGTAATGATTTTAGATATTGTAAAGCATTTTGGTAAAGTCAGTTATGTACATAAGAGAGGGAGAGGGGAAGGGGGGCATGATTCATATATTTTTTCGCTAGATATGTATATTGAGGGTTCTGTGTAAATGTGAATAAGTAACATTTGCAAACATATAACACCATCTCTGTAATTTGTAGACCACAGTGTAGTCTGTCCCGACCAAGAGGAACTTGCCTACAGCATCAGAGATCCATCGTATACCGAGGTGATTGAACGGACGTACAGTTTTGCCTCCAAGAGACTTTTGGAGTTGCTAATGAAAGAGAAGGATTTGATGGGGCGGCTGAGGTGTGTAGTTTTTCTCTTTCGTTCAAAGACTGCTAAAAAGAAATTGAAGTACTTTGTTACAGATTTTTTTTCATAGTTTGTATATGTGATTTGTGTATTTATTTTAGCATATTTGAAATAGGGATATTAAAAATGAATCATCAGAATAAAAGAATAATGTAATTTATATAGCAACCCACCAGGTAAATGCTCATTTTGTAATGGAGGCACAGTAATCCTAAATAGAAGACTGATATTACCAAGTTGTTAATGGCATGTAATAAAATCAACATGTCCCTCCAGATCCGTTAAACATTACTTCCTGCTGGACCAAGGAGACTTCGTTGTGCAGCTCATGAGTCTCTGCGAAGATGAATTAAGCAAGAACATTGATGACGTTGTCCCCACAAGACTCGAATCCTTGTTGGAGTTGGCGCTGCGTACCTCGGCAGCTAACAATGACCTGTACAAGGATGATATCCAGTGTGACTTGCAACCCATAACACTCATGAATCAGGATTGTTGGAGGATATTAAGTAAGGACAGGCTTTTAAAAAAAATTATATAGATATTTTTGGACTCTGTCTAGTTCCCCCCTTTTATTTAAAATGGTACATATATTTCTGTAAGGACATGTGCTATATTTCCCGATTTCATGATTTCATAGACATTAAATTTTTTTTGTCCATTGGTACTTCTCTCTCCTCTTTGGTTTATTAAAATAAATGGCTGTTCAGTCAGGAATTAAATTTTTCTTCTTCTTCTTCCTTCTTCCCTTCAGTGATAAAGATTTATGTATATGTAAAGCACCAAATCAGAATGGGGATATTGTATTTGATGGTATTATATAAGACACATCTGCCCATACAAGAAGAAATAACATTAAAGAAACCAAATTTGTCATCCAAAGAAGCTTCTTGATACACAAACCCTCTTTTTTCCTGAATATTTCTTGCTGGGACTGTATCTGATATGCCCACGTAACCCATTACATAGACTCAGATAATATATACTTGCAATGAAGATTGTTGCTTTATTTAATCTTTTTTTTTTTTCATAATTTTAGTAACTTCCACTTTATTTGGCTGTTTATTTGGCATGTTTGTCTTATGTGACACATTTGTGAGGGCATGTTTGTCTTTGTGTGGTTTGACATTTATTATTAAAAATCTCTGTACTTCCCATGCGGTTCCATATGATGTGAACCCAATTTCTTTTTCAATTAACAGTATTGAAACAGAGGATGAGCGCGAATATTACCCACAAGAGGAAAGGCTACAGCTATCTGGGCTCCAAGGTTTCTCTCTAGGATACCGAGTGACGTGGCCAGTGTCCTTGGTGCTTGATCGGAAGACCATCGCATGCTACCAGATGATCTTCCGCCACCTGTTTTACTGCAAGCATGTGGAGAGACTTCTGTGCAGGTAAACCATAAAGGATCCTAGTCATCTTAGATTTTTGTTTTTTGTTTGCTCTATGAACTGTGCTCAGTTTGATTTTTAAAATATGTAGTTATGAATACTCCTTCAAGTTATATAGTGACATTTTTTCTCCACTTCAGAGTCTGGGTTAGCAACAAGGTAGCCAAGAGTTTTCCTTTGTCTGCTTCTCGGACCTATACGGCAGCTTTCGCTCTGAGACAGCGAATGTTGAACTTTATACAGAATATAGAGTATTACATGATGTTTGAAGTCATAGAGAGGAACTGGCGAGACTTCATTTAAAAATGCAGAAGGTATGTCAATTGAATTGAGGTAACAAACTTGTTTTTCCCCAGTGTTCAGAAATTGTCATATGTAGTCTCTTCTCTCTCTCTCTCTCTCTCTCTCTCTCTCTCTCTCTCTCTCTCTCTCTCTCTCTCTCTCTCTCTCTCTCTCTCTCTCTCTCCTCTTCTCCCTCTCTCTCTCATGTCTCTCTCTCACGTCT